AAGATAATCGTACACGATCTTCTTCCAACAGATATATTAAAAACAAAAATTCTTTTTTCTTTTTTTCTCGAATTTTTTGAAAAGAAAAAAAAAATGGAGGAAATACATCGAGAACCCAAGTAAAATTAAAACAAGAATTATATTATTGTTCCCAAAACAAAATTAATCGCAAGAACATTCAATATATTATCCATTACACTCGAACAAAAATAAAAGAGAGAAAAAAACTACAAAAAAATCTTTCGTTATCGATCATTACCTCGTTCGATGGGGAACAAAGGCACAATTACAAAAGGAAGAATTCGTGCCACATTGTTGTATCCAATGTTGAATCCAGAAGGCCGCCCGCCCCCTGTCACGCGTCGAGGAGCGGTTGGATCGACTTGGACGTGGCCGATTATCGATGATCGGCCACGTCGTGGCCATTGACGCGTGACACACGCGGGTGGAGTCGCATTGTTCTTCGTGCAGGCTGGGAGAGGCCTTAATTACACCGCCGCTCCTCGTATACGTTTGATTTGCGTGGCCGTTACGTTAATTACGCGCGGACAGCTACACGAGTTGAACGACTCGAGCGAGCCCCTCGAATTCCTAACTTATTTTTATCTTATCTTATGTTCTATCGTTAATTTTTATTTCGTTTTTTTTTTCGTGAGGAATTTAGAGAGTAACATTTTTTGAAATAAATTTTGAGAAGTGTAAGAATAAGTTCTATTTTCCTTACTTAATTTTAGTTTACTTAGTTTTATCATTCTATCGTTAATTAATTTTTATTTCGTTTTTTTCTTTTTTCGTGAGGAATTTAGAGAGTAACATTTTTTGAAGTAAATTTTGAGAAGTGTAAGTAATAAGTTCTATTTTCCTTATTTAGTTTTATCATTCTATCGTTAATTAATTTTTATTTCGTTTTTTTCGTGAGGAATTTAGAGAGTAACATTTTTTGAAGTAAATTTTGAGAAGTGTAAGGATAAGTAGTTCTGTTTTCCTAACTTATTTTTATCATTCTATTAATTAATTTTTACTTCGTTTTTTTTTTGTGTGTGAGAAATTTAAAGACATTTCTTGAAGTAAATTTTGAGAAGTGTAAGAATAAATAGTTCTATTTTCATAATTTATTTTTATTCTATCGATAATTAATTTTTTCGTGATTTAGAGAGTAACTTTTTCTAAAGTAAATTTTGAGAAGTATAAGAATAAGTAATTCTGTTTTCATAATTTATTTTTGTCATTCTATCGATAATTAATTTTTACTTCGAATTTTTTCGTGAGGAACTTATTTTAGAGAGTAATACTTCTTAAATTAAGTTTTGAAAAGTGTAAAAGTTGTGAGTAATTCTAGATATAATTTCGATTAAGAACAGATTTTAAATTGAATTTTCCGCCATTTTAGAGATTCGAAGCGTTCCAACCCGGCCACTTGACATCCGTCGCACAAAGTTCTACGCAAAGCTTAACACGGAACAAGCGAAAACGGATGCAGCCCTTAGGGGCGCGAAATCTACGAGAACGAGCCAACCATAGTTGAATCAACGCCCATCCCTTTCTCGTTTTCCCACCATTTTCTCGCGCCAGGATCAACCGCAGTTCATCGTGACATCGCTGTGACCATTTAATGTTCATTATTGTAACGAGTGATCGTTCCGTTCCGTTTCGTTTCGTTTCGTTGATAAATGATCTCGTTGCGGTTTATATTCCTGCCCTCCTTCCACATTTTGCCAAATGAATTCTACGCGAAAATATGCGCCATTGCCGGTTCGTTGTCGTTCCACCCTTCTTTTTCTCCCCCCTCGCCCCGTTAATCGCGCGGCTTTCATTTTGTTCGGCCGTTGTTGGACGGATGGGGCACGTAGTAGTTTTTTAACATTTAGTAGCCTTGAATTTTAATTCCCGGTTATTTCACGGTGGCGCTCCCGTTATTTGTTTTTCCCCCCCTTTTTTTTTTCCTCCTGTTTTTCATCACCCTTCGTTTCGCGCGACGATGGTATTGTTACGGTCGTGTTGACGATACGCGGGGGTGATTCTGATTTGAATATAATGCGGAAGAAATTGAAGGAATTGAAATATGTTGCGGATTGCTGCCCTCGAAATTCAAATTCTTTCTTCTTTTTAATCTTTTCCCGAAATTCTTTCGAGATTCAATCATCTTCGATCAGTGATTCTACTTCTGTATATCTCAATGCGTGAGAAATTTTATTAATTCCCTTCAAAAATTGAAGAAAGATAATTCAAAATTCCAATATTCAAAAAGAAAAAATGCAATGCTCGTCAATTGCATAAAAAAAAAAAATTCAAATTCTTTCTTCCCTTTAATTGTTTCACTAATCACCTCTGATCAGTGATCCTACTTCTGTACATCTCAATGCGAAGGAAATTTTATTAATTCCCTTCAAAAATTGAAAAAAGATAAATTCAATATTCCAATATTCAAAAAAAAAAAAATGCAATGCTCATCAATTGCATAAAAAAAAAAATTCAAATTCTTTCTTCCCTTTAATTGTTTCACTAATCACCTCCGATCAGTGATCCTACTTCTGTACATCTCAATACGAAGGAAATATTATTAATTCCCTTCAAAAATTGAAGAAAGATAAATTCAATATTCCAATATTCAAAAAGAAAAAATAGAAATACTGCAATGTTCATCAATTGCATAAAAAAAAAATTCAAATTCTTTCTTCCCTTTAATCTTTCCCCGAAATTCTTTCGAGATTCAATTGCCTCCGATCAGTGATCCTATTTCTGTACATCTCAATACGAAAGAAATTTTATTAATTCCCCTCAAAAATTGAAGAAAGCATGTTAAACAATTCAAAATTCCAACATTCAAAAAGAAAAAGTACCAATACAATGCTCGTCAGTTTCAAAAAAAAAAAAAAAAGTTTTTGAATATCAATGATATATGTATAACTCACAAAATTCCATAGAATTATTTATCTATTTCCAATTCGTTCAAGGACAAGATCCAATCAGTAAAAAAATCCAGATCGAAGATCGATTCGAAGCATGGAATGGCGTCCACTTCGAAAGGGGAGGAGGGAGGGAGTCGTGGATGAAATCGTTTGGTGGATTTCGCATTCGTGGAAGAGGGACTCGTTTCGCAAACTCGAGTCGAGCCCCAATAATTCAGAGGCAAATTCTATGGTGGTTCTATGGAACCAACTGGTGGCAGGACAAAGGCCGGACAAAAGGGTGACCAGGATTGACCCTGGCGAAACTTCTCTGTCTCCTGGTCCTCTTGCCTGTGCACCATTTCTCGCTCTCCCATTCTTCTCTTTCCGGGTGCAACTGCATGCATCCCTGTCCACTTGGGGAACCAGGGGATGAATGAATGCGTGCAGCTGCGGTTGAATTAAAAAGTGAACGATGGGTGAGGGAACTGTAAGAGTTGAGAGCGGTGAATAAAGATTCTTGAACGAAAGAGCTCGAAAATAGGGAAGGGGAGGGGTTGGATTTTTTATTTTTTTATTTATTTATTTATTTTTTTGTTTAAGAATGATTTACGATATAAAATTGTTTCCAGAGAGTTACGAGATAATTGCAATTCCACTTGGCAAAATTTGCCTATTTTATCGGAAGACGGTGAGAGAAACAAGGTGAGAGAGCAAAATGGCGGTGTACAGAGGCGCTATATTTAAAACCGCACGCAAATTAATGCCTACCAGTTGGCGAGCAATAAAGTGCGGCTTAAGCGAGTTTAGGAAGCTTGTAACCGTGTTCTAACCTATTCACCCTAATTATGGATTCCGTTCCATTGCCTTTTACCTTCCTTTTTTAATCGTTTAACCTCCTACTTCCCTTCAGCTTCGTTTAATTAATATTCCTTCTCCGGTCACGTCGATTCCTTCCCTCCCTCCCTCCCTCTCTCTCTTTCAAAGAGGAAAATTACATTTCCATTACTTTATTTTCAACATTCTCCTTCTTACTTTTTCTTTGGAAAATTCGAAGGGAATAATTTGAATGTTTCTTATCTACTTATTTGTATTTAAAAATTAACAGGAATGATTGTATTGTTTTTTTAAAATTATAAAATACGTAAAATAAATTGGTGTAATAATATTCAAGTTCATTTAAACATTTTGTTACGATATATTTTGTATCTATAATTCCCTTGAATCGAAGTTCTCGTTAATACGTAAAATTGTTCCTGCAAATTTATTATATATATATATATGAAATATATATATATTGCGAGTTGGTGATTCCCTAGTGAATTTTTCTTCAGAGAAAACAATCTTCTTCCTCCTCTTCTTATGCAAATTTACAGAAAAATTTCTGGAAAAATATTTCGCGCGTAACAAACACGATCTTGGTGATATAAAATAAAGCGAAGAGCAGATACAGGTTCGTAAATTACGATTAATCGATTCTGCGGCGAGATTATCGCGATAATTGGACAATGATCGAGCGGTGATTCAGTGGAGCGAAACGTTGCCATTTTTCCTAGCGCAGTCTCTAGTTTTCTCTTCTCGTTTCTCTCTCTCGATTTGAAGTTTTTTTTTTTTTTNTTTTTTTTTTTTTTTCTTTTTCCCTCCCAACATCTGCTTCTCCTTCCTCTCGTCGAGTTAGTTAATTTAAAATGGAATTATGTGCAAACAAAGGTTGTGAAATTTCCGGCAGTGGAAAAAATTTTACGTGAGAAAGCTTTGGATTAAATTGAAATTAGGATCAGAAAACTCTATGGATGTTCGGAAAAAGGAAGAATAAAGATACGAGGATATTTATTTATAAAACAATTATTATTTTACGAAGTAACGATTATTTCAACAAACTCTTAAAAAAAGAAAAATAAATTATTCTCCGATATCACAGTCGATCAAATAATTTTCAGAAATAATTCTCCAACTTCGTCCCTTAATTATCTATACGTGAAACACACCAAAATATTCGACAAGCGGAAATAGAAATATTGATTTATCCGGAAAATTAATATTCTCGAAGGGGGGATTTTATTATGGCGAAACTCTCTCCTAACCAGGATTCGAATTTTTCCCTTTTTACAGACAGGCCATCATGGACGTTGAGGCAGCGCTGCTGGAGAACTCTCCAACACTGTCGACGATCTCGTCGGATTGCACCGACACCACGTATTCGGGGCCGGGCTCGCCCTATTCCCCGGAATCGCCCATCATCGTCACCTCGTCGTCCTACAAGAAAACAAAGGATGACGAGGTCACGCCTAGACCGACACCCAGGCATCCACTACCGCCCAGGAAGCCCAACTTCCGGATACGACCGCCCTATCTCATGATTTGCATCAGCATCATAGAGGTGAGCCTCGAAAATTGATTTACTTTTTCATCCTCCATGAAAACGCTGTAGATTTTTTATCCGTGGATAAATTTACCGATCGAGATCGAGGTGAATATATATATATATATATATCATAAGTTTTTATTTAACATCAGAACCAAATCAAATTTAGTTGTAAAAATTAATTGTGTGCTTTTGGTAAAATATAGTATTTTAGAAGTTATTTTAATCACTTATTCATTTATAATAAATTTAAGTAATAAATATAAATCGGTGGTTCTAATGTATAAATATATATAATCTAATGTATGTAATGTAATTCTAATGTATAAATATGTATAATAATATATTTATACATAAATATGTATAAATATGTATAATGTATAAATCGGTGGTATAATGTATAAAAAATATTGCAATTTATTAAATATTATAAACAAGTATTACTTTATTAAACAAGTAACATTATACGTATTTTACATATATAGATTTCTTTAGGCACATTTGTGCAACATTCAATGTGCTAGTTTTTTTTTGTTAATCTTCAAAAAGAGTTTTGGTAATTTTTAAAACAATTTTTATAACAATGGTATGTAATCCATATAACTACATAAATGGTTTTTTTTTTAAGGATACGAAATTAATGTGTCAAAGAGTAACTAGGAGATTTGAAGTAGGAATAATTACGACAATTAAATTTAATTTGGGAGAGTGGATGTGTTTTTGAATAGTTCGTAAGACTTACAATTGGAGATAGAGTGTGGAAGTTAGTTGTGGGATGTTTTTGAATGGGTTGTAAACTGCAGGTGTAATTTACGAACCGGGATGAGAAAATTAATTTGGACTTGGAAATTGCTTGGAATGATTTATGACTATTGAAGAAATGTATCGAAATTTAATTTAGATGCAAGAGGTAGTTTTCCAACGGTTCGTGTTTCGAAAATTAAATTATGAGAAGGAGATTTTTTTTTTTCTTCTTCTTCGTTTATCGTGTTTTAAAAGGAAATACGTGAAATTAAATATTAATCTTTTGATGGAGTTTAATTTCCAGAAAGCGAACTATTTAAATTCCTTCTGCTTCTTATATCGAGATAAATGGATCCAGAATTTTAAAAGGAATTTCTTCGTCTTAAACGTTTAATCGTTAATAACACTTAAATGTAAAATAATAAGGATATTTTTCGCCTTATATAGCTAGAAAGCTTGTCGTGTCTTCTTTTTTTTTTTTTTTTTATTCTTTAACGTTATTAATATTCAATTAGTAATTGATCATCCAATATCTGTAGATATTTCTTTTAATATATCCTTAAAATAAATTTTTCTCAAAATTGATCATTTCACCTTTTATAAAAGTATATATAAAAATATTCTTTTTCTCCAAATTATTGACATTATCAAATAATCTTATTTACATATAGTTTCGAAACAAAAAAATTCTTCCATCATTCTCTTTCAAAAATCATTTTCGAGATTGCACTCGAAATTACATCGAAAAGCATCGATATATATATATAGCACCTCAAAAAAAAAAAAAAAAAGAAAAAAAACTCGTAATATCATGCAACTAAGGATATCTCGGCTAAGAAATTTCGATTTCGCGTCTGTACCGACTCGTCCAACCTCGAAAAATTTCCCATTAACCGAGCTAATGCGTCGTTGAAGCCTGTTGAAGAGACCGATGTGGAATCCGTCTCAATTATTCGCACGAGTTCACGAAGGAATATCGTCGTGCCGGTAGATTTCAAGAAACTCTGAAAGAAACGAAACGAAACGAAACGAAACGAAACGAAACGAAACGAAACGAGGAAAAAAAGAAAGAAAGAAAAAGGAGAACGAGACGAAGAAGAGGATGAAAGAATGATAAAAAGAGGGAAAAAACAGAGACAGAGAGAGAGAGAGAGAGAGAGAGAGAGAGAGAGAGAGAGAGAGAGAGAGAAGAGGGGAAAAAATGGCGGGAGGCAAGACGTTCCTCCATGCTCTCCTCCTTACATCTTTTCTACCTTTTTCTAGTATATATATATATATATATACACACACTTCTTTCCTTGGACTTTTTCCCTCTGGCTCGATAATAATTCCAGGGGAGCTTATTCGAGCACTTCCGGGGGATCGTCGGCACGAGGAGCGAACGTGGCGGATAAAATGCTACGGGAGGAGTTTAAAGCCGCCAACTTGAATTGCACTCTTCTTTTCTTTTCCACCGGGCAAAGTCTCGTGCAATAAAACAGAAGTTAACGGTGTCGACGGGAGTTAATGAAACGAGAAAGGGGTGTGGAGGAATGGCGGCCACCGAAAGGGGTGGGGAGAGGCGATTCGAAGATCGGATTTCGGGCAGCGATAATCGGGCAGAATTCGAGACGAAACGATTATTTTACCGAGGGATGTTCTTGGAACGATTATTGCCGTTGTTCTGAATTTGCTCTTTCCGAGATTATTGGGGATAGATTTGGATATTGGGAAAATTAAAGATAGGACGAGTGATTCTCGCGTAATTTGGGGGAATTTTTTTTAAACGCCAAAACCTTTTTTCTTTTTTGATTATTATCGTAAACCTGTATATCATTGTCTTTAATTCGAATTTAATCTTTTCAGATTGGATAAAAAAAGACAAGGAACGATTTGGATATTGGAAAAATTATTTTAGAAATTTAAAAATAATGTATATATTACTACAGTACGAATAATTTTAGCAAAATTAATATCGATATTTATTCAAAAGTGTAATAACAAATGTGTATTGTTATCAAAAGGAAAAAAATAAAGTTTCGCAATTCGTCATCTTGAATCTTAACCTTAATTACACACTTTCGTGTGAAGCAAAGAATTTGGCCAAAATCGAGTAAAGTCCATGCTCTTCACGCGATAAAACGGCATTCCAACGATCCGAGGCAACGAAGTAACGGCTCTCTCCGGTAAAAGCGGAGCGGCTGATTCGTCGAAACGGGAGTTGGGATCCAATCGGCGTTCACGTCCAGTTTCGCGCGATGAAACGTGAACGATAACGTGGTGTGCGGGCCTTTAATGAAAACGCTGAGATAGCGGAAACGGCCGCCGAAAAGTCGACTTCCGTTCCGCTGATAATCGCACGCGTGTTTGTGTTCCCGTGTTTTCTTCCAGCATAACGGAACGCGCGATAAATCGGGAACAAAAGTGCAGAACTGTAAATACAGCTCGTTAGAGGAAAAAGAGAGCTCTGATAAATCGGCTCTGAGAACTTTGTGGAAGGAGAAACTCTGGTAAAAGTGGGTTTTTTTAAATCGCGATTGAAAAAGGGCTCAGCGGTTCTCAACTTGCGATATTTCTTCGCTCTTATGGTATTGACGATACCCGTTTTTATCGACTCGGTTTTAATTTCGATACTTACATTTCCTTTCACGCGATAAAATTTTAAAATTTGGAATCCTATTGGTTTGGCTGGAATGAAGTTGGTTATCGCGCTTTTATTCTTGTTTAATGTCTCTTTTATTAAATATACGAAGATTTTTTTTTAAGAAACTTGAATAACGATGAAAAATAAAAAAAGAAAATTTACGAGTCGGTTACAGTAATCGATATCAATCTCGGTTACTGCCGCCATTTTATTTCCTCGGAGCCATGTAATAAAATGCGCTATATTCGAATAGAAAATAAAATTGTTTCTTTGAAATTGTATGTAAGTAAGATATTTTATTACATTTTTTTTATATAGAAATAAAAAATAATTGTAGATCTGTATTCACAGTTGATTAACAAAAGTATTTTATAATAAAATTATAAAATGCATATTTTTAAATATATAACTTCTTTAGATCGAGTTAAACTTTTTTTTCTTGAAATACAAATTGAAATTATAATACATATATTTATACATTATATTTGATATATAATATTTCACGGTATAAATTGAAATTATAATATAATTATCGATAATAATATTATAATTAATGTGGAAATTGTGTTTGAAACAGAATATTTCGGAGAAATTCTATAATAATACAAACTCCATGATATCGATTTCTACGTGTTAACAATCGTGTTCAACAACGAAAAAGCTAGAGCTAGGTAAAATAATTCAATTTCGTCTTTTGATAAAAATATATCTATCTATGTACAGAACAAGTGTAAAATTTTATAGTTGGACAGAGGGGTGAAAAATACTATTCCCAAGTCGTATCCGCTTGTTTCCACGGTATATTCGATAGTTTATGATTTATTTAATGGGAGAAACCATTTTTCTGGTACACGACCAATCCGTATACTTTATCGTTCGTTCCCGAGTGATGCAATATCTCCGGCAACCCTGACCAATAGCCTCTGAAAGTGCATTTTTTCCCCGCCCATCTAAGACTGAATCTTTCTCGTTGGAAATAAAATTTCACGATACGAAACGGAAACGAAACATAGAGAAGAACGCGGAAACTTTCTATTCGATCATCCGCAGTTACTTAAAAGATTGGAGTTGAAATTACGACTTTAAATTCCATGGTTGGATAATACGTTTATACGGGTTAACGTGAAAAGATGGATAATTGTTTCAAAGTTTTTTAAGTTTAAGAAATAAATATAAATGATAAGAAAAATATAATGATAATGATAATATTATTTTACAGGATATTTTTATATCCTATAAAGGTTGGTATATAAAATATTTATTTATTAGGTTATATTAGCAATTTTAGGTTTGGGTTAGATGTAACGAGATGCAGATTGTATCGTTCTATTTTTATCTCGTTTCGTCTAATGCAAACATAATAATTTAATAAAACAACTGATATTCTTTCGTATTAACTTTTTTATTCGTTTTGATTTTTAGAATTGACTCTTCACAGATATGTTAACACTCTGTGCAATATCTATTATTATTACATACATTGCAAGATTACGAATTTAATGAATACAAATCGACGAGTTTAAAGGCTAATAAACAATAAATAATTTCCAAATAATTCGTTCGTGTAACTTCTAGAGGTAATCTATTCGAACGAAATCATTTATAAAATATCCTTTCCATTTATTGAGATGAATAAATTTTCATAGGACATAGGGCACGTCAAAACATCCACGAGAACATCAATACTTTTTTTCCCTCCATTTTTCATTTCTTTTTTTTTTTTTCTCCTTTTTTTTTCAGCTAAAACTGGATCGTTGTCAGAGGCATATAGTTGTCAGGCTAGAAACACCTGTCGTCATCGAACCATTTCTCTCGATTTGACCAGATTCTGATTGGCTGAAATTTTTCGACCGATCCTATCATTGATAATAAAGCCGAAAATTCGTATATACACAGTAAGCATTGAAGCGGATTTGATTAAAAATTATGGAACGGAAGAAAATTTTTCATTATTTAAAATTTTAATTCTTTTTAACAGCTTATTAAAAATCTTCTGTATAAAACGTATAATATAGTGATGGATTATTAAAACGTTATCAAATATTTGCATTCTGTTTCTCAAGAATCTTAGAAGAATCAAAAATATTTATAAAACGATTAAAAAAATGTTTGGTTTCTGAATATATAAATTAAAGGGATAAGTGTGAAAAAAGACCAAATATAATAAACCAAATATAAGTACATAAATACATCTCAGGACATTGTTCAGTTATTTATAATCAAGAAAAATTATTAAAAAAATTGATCCGATAAATAGCTTAAAGAAATAAATATATAGAAGATAAATATAAAACAGGTAAGTATAATAAATTTAGAAATTAGAATTAATTAAAATGATTAAAAAATGTTTTGTTCTTGAAAATATAATATCAAAATAAAGTAAATATAAAGGTGAAAATAAAGGTAAGTATATTAAAGTCTAAAAATTTGATACCACTTCCTTTTTAGTTACATTCTCCTATAAAAAATCAATTTGAAAAAACTTAGTCAGATTTTCGATTTCGTATTAGGAGAATATAATAAGGAGATGGAAAAATTTTTTGACAAATTTTAAATTTAGCAATTTTTGGCCAAAAATACGATTTTGTATTAGGAGAACATAAGTTAAAAGGAGATCTTTTTCCAAGAATTTTTCCAAGAATTTTAGCAGTTCCTGGAAATAACATCAAATTCCTAGAACTTCTATAATTCTTGGAAATAACACAATATTCTTGGAATTATCGAAACTCTTGAGCGAACGAAATTTACAATTAATTTTTCGTCTTTGTTTTAGAAGAACATAAGTTAATAGAAGATTGCTCACACTAATTTAAACACCATGAGAATTAGACCGATCAGCAACATGATTCTCAAGAAGATTTATTCATCAGCAGCCCTTACATCAATGAGATTCAGCATCTTCAAGTTGAAAATGAAGTGCCAAGACAACATACAATCAGGACCAACCAACATATATATAAATGTGATATAGTTATATAAATATAAATTATATATGTAATGTAATGTAAAATAATTGTATATGTAATGTAAATTTAATATTTAATAAACATATACTGTACATATATTTCCTATTTTTTTTTAATTTCTTCCTTCATTTTCCTATTCCTAAAAAATTTCTCGTCCAAATTTGCGACTTTTGAACAGGAGAATATGATATGCAAGGAAGTGGCACGAAAAAATTTCAACAGAGACCAATTTCTTAAAGTTTCTCGTCCAAATTTCCGACTTTTGAACAGGAGAATATGATACGCAAGGAGGTGGCACGAAAAATTTTTCGACAGAGACCAATTTCTTAAAGTTTCTCGCCCAAATTTCCGACTTTTGAACAGGAGAATATGATACGCAAGGAGGTGGCACGAAAAATTTTTCGACAGAGACCAATTTCTTAAAGTTTCTCGCCCAAATTTCCGACTTTTGAACAGGAGAATATGATACGCAAGGAGGTGGCACGAAAAATTTTTCGACAGAGACCAATTTCTTAAAGTTTCTCGTCCAAATTTCCGACTTTTGATTGAAATATTTATGTTATTATGATTATTTTTTGAATTTGTAAAATTATTCTAATTGATATTTCAAATTATTGTAAAGAAATTAATCTTATGATGTAAAGGAATTTTTAATAATTTATGTGGGATTTTTTTTTAAAGCTGTAATATATGGATTATTTTTTGATTTTAACAGGAAAAAGGGAATATGGAATTTATAATGGTAGAGGATGAATTGATAGGTATAAAATATAAAATAACATATAAAAAGAAAAATGAAAAGCTTTATTATATAAATGCTTGTACATATAGTAGTATACATACATCTATACATATAAATATACTTCTAGATAAAATCAATATTCATATGTATAATATTTTATGATTTAAAATAAATATACATATGATGAAATTTTTCTTATAAAAATTTTATAATAAAATGATATTTTATTAATTGAACAATTTACAATATACTTAATAATTATTAGCATTTAGACACGAATATATTTAAGAATAAAATTCGAATAATCAAAGTTATACATTAGAGTAATTTTCATTCTTAATAATTTTTCAGAGTTTTATTCTCAAACATATTCGTGCTATTACAATTAAAATACAAAATCTTATTACATATTCTTATTCTTACATTCTAATATATATTATATATACATATATACATATTCTTAATTATTTCTTAATTACTTATATTCTAATTGGCTTCACTTCATCTGAATTCGCATCACAGGTGATTTCTCGATAATGCAGCGTCTTTTCTCTCGCACGATGTGTCAATTATCATTCATAATAACACGAAGGGATATTCAGATCGTTCATTATTTAAAGGCTGACAACGGCGGTGGTTTATTCGGCATTAAACAAGCAGTTTTGATTAATTACCATTTTGCTCGCTCGAATTTCCATACGGGAATGGAATTAATTATTCGCTAGATTGTTCATCGATAATGCGCATTCGAATTTTTAACTCCTTTGCACGGGGGATGGGTATTTTCATCCAGAAACGCATTAACGTTCTTGTTTCTCGTGGTAATGGCAATAATTTGCAAATAATTTCGTCGATAAAAATGTTCGCGACACATTTTTCTTCCTTTTTTTTTTTTTTTTTTTTCTAATAGGCAACCAGTTGAAGATTTGTGCTTTTTCCATTACTGCTGTGCTCTCCTTTGATGCACGTTTGAGCAAATAAGTGACGATTATTCGACGATATTTATGATAAATTAATTAATTTTACATGCTGTATAATATTGATGAAATGAAATAGTGTATTGGATTATTGGAACAATAATTTGCAAGCTAGTTTGAATATTAATTAGATACGAATCCATCTATTGTATCAGAAACAAATTAAAATGTTTAATTTATACGTAAAATTATTAAATTGATTTAAACATCTTTCATAAATTCACAATAATGTAAAATTCCTTTACTTAGCACCATCCAACATCCTGCAATCATTATACAATTAAATTTTAAAAAAAAAATACAATACAATTGTAAATATGAACATTCAATACATATTAAATACTTACCCCTAAAAATATTTTTCTTGCCAGGAACAAATATTTAAATACAGTCATACAACTTTTTCTCTACAATCCTTATTCCTTTAACATATCATCACATCTATGGTAATAACAAATCCATCGAAAATATTTCGTTAAATTCCCAATACTGCCAGATAAATATTCAATGTAATATGTACTGTGTACTATGTACTGTGTACTGTAAAGAAACTAAAACACAAAGCGTTTCTTTAAAAAAGTCAAAAAACTCACCTTGCACGATTCACCATTTATCGGTGAATTATATTCATGGTACGCCAGAACACGAGGCAATGAAATCGCATTCTGGATGACGACAGATAGCCGTACACTGTCTGGGAGACGAAGCGATGCTGCGCAGGTGGTTGGTCTACGACCCCCGTCAGAGGGTGCAAGGATGGAGGTTCGCCTCGTATATGCTGCTGCACTCGAACGCGCTTCACCTTGCGTTGAACGTGGTCATCCAGCTGGTGCTGGCCACCCCTCTCGAGGTGAGTTAATCAGACTAATTGCCTACCTTTGGCTGGCCACCCTTTACGGCGACCTCCCGCAATGTGTATCCTTCGGTAGACCGATCGATCCGTGTCCATTGAATTCAAAAATGATTTCCTTCTTTGAAATTTCTTTTTCCTTATTTTACGATATTAGCTAGATTAAAAACGCCGTCAGGATTTGCGTGGATTTTCCAATGGACCCTAAATTATTATGGACTTTTATAAATTATAATAAAGATTTATTTATATAGATACTTACGTCTCTCTTTGTAAAATCTGTATAAATTTTTATTGTTCTTGAATTTATTATAACGTAAAATTGGAATTTTTGATAATTTATAATAATTCTTACATTAATTTCTTTCGATATCCTTCAATTTTTCTTTTCAACATCTTTGGCCAAAGTTCTTTTAATTGAAATTTTTATGGAAAGACGAAAAATTCTATTTTTATTTGTATTAGCGAAGCATTCTCTGTTAAACTATTTATTACAAGAAATTCTTCTAATGGCATGGAAAATGTATGGGAGGAAAGAAATTATCGATGATCATAGGTGGAACAAGGTCGAATAGGAGTGGCAACCATCTATTTAGGAGGTGGCGTTTGCGGAGCACTCGGGGCATCTCTTCTTCAGCCAAGCCTCTTCTTGGTTGGTGCTTCGGCAGGTGTATATGCCTTACTTACCAGCCATCTTGCACACCTTTATTTGGTAAGTTACAAAAAATATTGCTAATTACCATTATGATATTGTGAAACATGCTTCATTGAGCATCTCCTCAAAATTGTAAAATTATCATTATATATGTAACAAATTTCTTTTCCTTTCTATTATTGATTTTAAAAGTATTTTCAATTTAATTTTCTCTTTTATTGCTGGAAATCCTCTTTTAAAACGTTCCTCCAAGACATTCATCATTCAATTCAAGCGTTTCTCCAAATTTTTCCAGAAGAATTTTTCTGGAATAAAAAATTTAAAAAATTATTAATTTTACTTAATTTAATTAATTTCTTAAAAACTTCCTTAATAATCTCAATCCAATTTCATCGTTCGTTTATTCATCACAACTCATAAACCATTGAACAACAAAATTCATCTATGTATTCCATCTCTAATTTCCAGTGTCACGGAGAGCTCCGTTATGCCGGCTGGCGGCTAGGCGCGGTACTACTCTTAGCCAGTGCGGACGTTGCTTCACTGCCAATCCCAGCCCTTCTGGGTTGCGGTCGAGTCGGTTGGGCCGCGCATGTAGCTGGTGCACTGGCAGGACCTCTTCTGGGGCTGGCTGTGTTCCCAAATCAGAGCAAAAAGGACGCAAGGGGACGACGATTCGTCAGATTCGTTCGCCTCTTATCCGCCATCAGCGTGATGCTCCTCGTCGTAGGCGCCATCTTGGGCAACATCTACCTGATCGCTCTTCCACAACTGAGAAAACCATCCTGACAGAGGATCGAGCTGCTCGTCAAGCTCTGCAGACGATCCTTCCTTATCGTCAAGATCAGGGAAGCCGCCGAGAGCGTTTTCGAGTAGGTTCTCGCCAATCTTATCTCTTTGGAATGGGAATATTTGCCACGTTATTTGGACCCAGGGAGAAAATTGGAATCGTGTGAAATTGTGAGAAGAAGGATTCGAGGATGAAATCTGAGATGTGGATCTTTGAATTTTGAAAATTCTTGGAAATATTGTGGATTATTAATAAATAAGGAAATTTTTTACAAGGTGTGGATCGGTTGGAAGTGACATGGTGCTGATAGTTTGGAAATGATTAAGAAGAAAGATTTCGGAATTGAATGGAGTAAGGAATTAATTTATAAATTGAACTTGGAAGAAATCTTGGAAGAATAAAAGATATTGAAAAGAGTTGTATAACTTGAACTTTGAGAATAAACAGTAACGAACAAACGATGTGCATTTAATTATAAAAAGAAAAGACATTCTGAAAAATTAGAAGAGACACGAAGAAAAGATAGTGTCTCTGAAAAATCCATTGATTTTTACTGCTTACAAAAAAAACTGCCACAAGAGAACCATCCATCAACCAAACAATTTCTCCCTCTCGAAAGAAGATAGTAATAAAAATGGAAAAAACAAGATCAATCGATCAACCAGAAAAAAAAGAGAAAAGAGAAGAGACATGAGAGGAACCTAAACGATTCTTACCGAAAAAAAAGGAAACAAAAGAAAATTGGCTGGTAGAATTCCAGGTAGCTCGATTGAAGTTTCTTTGAATGTATCGACAGGAATGATCGAGAATCCTCTTTTCGAGAGAACCACAACATCATCGTGTCCACGTTTTTAGAATATCTCCTTTAGAAGATCTAACTCTTTTCATCTTTACTTTGTGATGTATTTTCGATTTGAAAAGAGAAATCTATGTTGGCCAAACTGTCTCTAATAGTGAGATTACGGTGATTTGTGACGGTGTTTTTTCAAACTTTGACGAATCGTCGTCGTTCAAACGATGAATGGACATTTACAAACCGCAAAAATTGTTTGCTGGACCGCGATTATTTTGTCAATATGATCGATAAAGATGATTTTGATAGATAAAAATGGTGACTGAAGAAGTTTGATTATGTTTGACGATATTTATGTGTACTTCTGGTGTATGAAAAGAAGGAATTGAAATAACTCGATCGATATGGAACTGTGCAATGATTTGATCTATTTAATTGTTCAGTGAATGGACAGAGAAATAAGTGCAGAAGTTAAAGAAACTGGATTATTTGAAAAAATGGATTTGGTATTCTGGCCAAAAGTTTGGAATTACCAAGTGTCCCTTAAGAAATTGAAAAAGAGAATCGACTTAGAAATTTTATTATATGAAAATTTTTCAAAAGCCTTTAAAGAAATAAAGAAAATTACTATTGATACACGTAATTACACAATTTTCAATTTAATTCAACGTAGGAGAGTGATTTTAAATTTTTGGCCTTAACTTTCGATGACTGATGAAAAAGGATTTTGAAAGCAAAAGTTAAATTCTTGAAGAATCCTCTAATGGATCCACGTGCTTCTTTGCTGAGCATTCGAAGAAAAGTTAAAAGTTTCTTCTTTTTCAAACGAAGGAAGTGTTAAAAAAAAGTGTCGAGAAAATCGAAGAAATTAGTATGTTTAATACTGATCGTACTAGAATTGTTGAGTGACAAAAAAGAGAGAGATCAAAGATTTGAGACTTTGTTTGAAAAAATGTTTTCTCGTGAATAAGTGGATGATGAAGACTGATATGACAAAGTTGGAAGAACGTTAAATGGTCAGAATGATTTTGTTGTTGAATCGAAACGTTCGGAACAATGACAGGAAAGAATTGATAGCGAACGATGTCGATCGACGAGATAATTGTTGAAGTGACGAGTGTACAATCGACTAGCAGTAAGCCTGAAATCCGTTGATTGGTAAAATATCGCTAGGCCGTTGTCCCTGATTGTGTGAAAACCGATGAACAGAAGAGATATAATAATTATATTTTTTTTTTCCAAATTTTTTATAATTTATTTCATTCAATAATTTTCCTCATTTTCTAATATCTTTCCATTATTGAAAAATTATTATTCCAATTAAAAAATAACTATTGTTATCAATTAATATACTTAATCTATATACAATATTTATATAAAGATTATTAACATTTTATAATTTTAATATAATTCTTAATATTTTTATTAACTTCTTTAAAAAGAATTTTAATACCTTAGCAATTTTTAAATTTGATTTCTCCTTCTCAATTAAAACAATCTGTACATAACATTCAACTATAGATATAAATATTAACAAACATTTTCTTAATTCCATATATCATATTTAAATACAGTTCAATTTTATTATAATTTTTAATATTCTTAAATTTTTTTAAAAACTTCTTAAATTATCATATTAAAAAAGAAAACGAACTTCGGTTCATTCGATTTTTCCACAAATTCAGGAACATTAATTAATAAGAACGTTCTAAAATAATTCTTCGCTATAGACTACCAATTAAAATAGGGATAAGTATTCGGTATTTAATGACGGCTGCAAACGATAAATTCCCCTCGTCGCTCGTTCCTTTCCTCCAACTGATCCCATGGATGAAATCTGGCAAAAATTGGACGAGAAATGCATTTTCAGAATCGACACAACGATGCTTTCTTGGTCGAGGTGGATGGTCGTTGACATCGAGGACGTCGTTGTCGTCGAAGATGACGCGTGAGAACGACCTGATTTCCTTCTGAAAAATCGTACGACTATCTTTTATCAATTTTATGCGTCTCGTATAACACTTTTAGTATTATATAGTTCAATTTTTGCATAGTTGAATGGATTTTATGAATCGTTTCGATTCGAATTTCGATTTACGTGTATTGGAAATTTTAATATTTTTATTAAATTTAATTCGACTGAGAATATCGTACGATTTTTGGATATTTGATATCTAATCTTTTGCGTTCTGATTCTTTATCGATTTATATCAAGTCATGATAAGAGTGATTTTATAATTTAAAAATTAGTTAAAATTTGGAAAAAGTCTTATATTTAAAATATAGGATGAAAATTTCTATTCCAAAAATGTCGATGCCTAAATTTTGTATTTCTATAAATTAAGAAATGACTTTTTTCTAAAAAGTACAAAAACGAAGCCAATATCTCTGAAAAAGGGATCAAAATTAATTTTAAAACACTGCCAATATTCCGTCCTTTTACAATACAGGCTTAAACACAATTCCAATAAAGAAGGTAGACAGAAAGAATTTTTCCACTATTGTATCATCAAATTTTTATATCTTCGTATCTTATTATTATAAATATCCTTTACATTGAATTTTTCCTTTATTATTTACCAATTTTTCCAATTTCCATATTCCATACATATCTTTTATATTGTTTTCTTTATATATAACGTTCTTCTTTCACGGAATATTCTCCATTTTCATATTTTAAAAGTTACTATTATATATATATATATATATATACATACATATTTTTCCTTCCAGATATAGAATTTTTCCTTTCTCACACGATATTGTTACACGTCCATGTCTCTCTTCGCATGCAGAATTTTTCATTAAACCAAACCTTCTGATTTTCATGTAATTTATCATCATGAATATTTTAATCGGAAGGACAAGATTCATTTTTATTTTTCGATCCAAAAATTTTTGTGAAATTCAAATTCATGACACGCGCATCCCCCCTCTATCCAATATAAAGAATAAGAAAGAGAAAAGGTAAGGGAATGAAAAGAAGGATGAGTGAAAAGAAAGAAAAATGGCGTGTCGTCCAGGGCCTGCTAATGGACTCATTAGTAAGGCTCCCCAGGAGAGATTCTTGCCCGAGACGTGGTGGAGGTGAAATTCACGCTCCACTGGCGTCTCGGAGGACATATTCGCATGAACAGGATGATTAGGCGAGAACTTGTGAGAATTGCTGTGTTGCTACGAATTCCACTGGTGGTGAATGCGGGAGGGCCACCGCAATGGAATTTCTCAATTGAGCATCTAAACTTCCACCGTTTCAAAAGTTCGTAGTTTCTGGTGGTGGCTCGTTTGGAAAGATTTTTATTTCAATTCTTAATCTAATTCCATCTTAATGTAAATGAAATGAATTGAAAAAATATAATTGTTAAATTAACAATTCTTTTCACCAATTCTTTTTTCATCCCCTGCAATGTAAAATGATATAAATATAACACGACATTAATCGAACAAGGATCGAAAGATAAATGTCGCACTGATCCTATTTCCTAGGATATCACCAACTTAAAATAAAATATCTTAATCAAAATTTCAATCGAATTTCCATCCCAAATTAAAATAAATAATATCGAATAAAGAGCAAGAGCGCAAAGGGTTGTTGCATTCAGAGATCGTTCTGTTAATTCCACAAAATCACTCGTATTATTCGGATCCAATGGAAGAAACATCGAAAGGGATGGAATTTAATCGAAGTAAATCGAAAAATTTTCCAAGGGCGGGGGAAAAGCGAGGTGTTGGCGTACACAAACGTGGCTGGAATTTCGATCGCGATCTCTTTCCACCCTCTAATCGTGCATCCCTTCTGTCCACGCCAAATAAGAGAAAGAGAGAAAGACGAGAATGAATAGGAGAAGGAAGGAGGAGGAGGAGGAGGAATTAAAGTTCTGCGTCGCCTGCACCCTCTTCTATTTACGACGTCACACCTTTAGTTCTAAGCTGAAAGTGTCTTTTCCGCGATTCTCGCTCCGAACGATTTCGATGAGAATTTAACCCCTTGCCTCGTGATATCGGGTCACGTTCGCGGACCAAGGAAGGAATTATGATTTTACCTCGATAAAGGAAAGAAGTTGGATGTTAGGATTATATTGAAGAATGGAACGCTTAAAAGAAGGCCTTTTTTTGTTGTGAAATATTATATTGTTTATGAGTATTTTTTTTTTTTTTTTGTATTAAAAATTTAGATTTGTTGCTGTTGGATTTAGAAGATAAAAGATGTTTCAGAGTAGAGAAAGAAATTTGGTGATACGATTTTGAGGTTGAATGATGAAAACTCGAAAAGTTAAACGGAAAATATATACAAATTAGATTACAAGGGGTTAAGTAAAAAAGAAAGGATCGTAAGGCAAGGGATTGAAGGACACTTAAGATTGCATTTTAATTGGTCAAAGTGATCCTCGATAATTTTTGTTTTCTTTTGAATAAAAGTTATGTAATATTTTTTTGTTTTGTTTATTAGAAAACAAGGACATTTGTTGTTCTAACGTCAGTGCAATGTACGATAATGCAATTGTACAGTGATAAGAAAATAAGAGTTAAGAGTAGATAGAATAAAATTATTGATGTTATATAGAGGCTTGGAAAGAAACGATTTCCGATTATCTGTCGAAAAATAAATTGTTACGTTTGATGAAATGGAATTTTTGAATTGGCGATCGAATGATTGTTGTACAATGAAAGAAAGTAATTAAGTATCGTGATGTAAATCGGTTGATCGATTAATGTGTATGCGTGATAAAAGAGAAAAGAGAGAGAGAGAGAGAGAAATATCAATAGATACAAAAGAGGAAAAATTATTATCTTTAGAAATTCGAATCTTTTAATAAGAATATTTAATATTCAGTTAATTACCAATTAACATGTGATAAGAGAAATAAGAAAATAATATAATTGAATGATCCAATTTTTAATTAACGAATGTTGGTTGTAAACCAATTATCGTGCAATGGAAGAATGAATTAAAGATAGAACTTGAGGATTGGGAGCTGAGAAATGCTATATAAAAAAAAAACGCTTTTTCTTGGATTCCTTTCTCAAGATTCTTCAAAATCTCGAATCGCAGATTCTCGAGAATTTTCAGCAAACGAAACGAAGAATCTCGATAATTTTGAAAAATGAAAAAGAAAAAAAAAATCGGAAGTCGATGAATGCGTGCGAAAGATTTTTCGTATAGAAAAAAAAATTTTAATCAATAACTAATTTTAGTTTAGATAATTTTGGTAGATGCTCTATTAAGAATTTACGAATGCATGAATCTTTTGAATATTGAGGAAGTATGAATGGTGAAAAAAGAAATCCGAGTGGGTGAAGAATTTTTTCCAAAGAGCCAACAATTTAAAAGATTGTCTCCTTGGTTGAATCGCGACGAAGGCATTAACCATGGCTGCCAAATACAAGAAAAGAATACATTTACAATTGTACGTACGAGTTAATCGATAGGTAGGAAAGTAGCGCCGTATCGTGTTCCGATTACTCACAAATCTTGGAAAAAACTTTTTCGTTTAATTTTTTGACAATAAATCGTCAAACGATTTTTTTTTTTTTTTACAAAAAAAGGCTTTGTCAGACAATAAGAACTATCTATCTAAAATTTTGATTTTTCTTCGTCGAGAAAATTACTTTTTGAACGAGGAAAGAAAAAGAAAGATTTTTAGAAATGAAGTAATTCTTATGTAAGATGAATTCTAAAAGTACAATTTGTAAATTTTCAAGAAAAAAATGTAATCAAAGAAAAATTCTTTTTTTTTAAATAAATTCAAATTTCTCGAGAAGAAGGGGAATAATTAAAAATTTTAGAATTAAAGATCAACATTTAAAAATAAAAATATCTTTCTTACCTCTGATATTTCTAAATCGATTTGTGGGGAATTTGAACGAAAAAAAAAAAATGTGTTCTCTCCGGCAATTTAGTCGATCATCGTACCTACTTGTTTTAAACAATATTAATACACAATTACAAAGTTACATATATATATATATATATATACACACATATACATACATCTACCAAAAACACGTGGCGAACTGGCTGTGATTATGTTAGTGTTACGAACTCAATAAAATATAATATCGTCGACACGATTAATAATAATGATGAACACGGATATATCTGTAAATACCGACTAATTGAATATAAATATAAATACGATTATATACGCTGTGATTTGATCACGGGCCATATTTAAATGGAGGGTTTGTCACCTCTCCAACTGTGTATCAAAACAATCGATTGCCTGCAATAAAGTCGAAATCATACCATGGTTTCTGTAATCCCATTGCCTTTTACCTTTAACAAACGCATATGGAACCTCGACCAATTTCATGGTTAATTTCTTATCATTGAATAAATTGATATCGAAATTAATCTACCATTCATCTCGCAATTGAGCGATTAATCCTTCCATCTATGATTCTAAAATTTTTATATATTATCCAAGTTTCGATTTTGATAATAAAATTGTAATTTGGAAGTTTAAATTAACAGCAGATATGTCAAATAATTCGAAAATTATCTTAATGAAAATTTAAAAAATTTTTAATCTCGAATAGAACAACGACTCCAAGAAGAAAAGTTAAAGAAGAATCAACGAAAAGGTAAGATTTTTATATGTAAAAAATCACAGGAGAAAAAAATATGGTAAGTTGTATTTTTTTAATTTTTATAAAGTATAAGATAAGAAAAATAATAAAAATCAATTATTATATATTTCATAATTCATTTTCCAAATTTTTAAACTATAAACAATTTTTATGATACACGAATCCTTATTCCACAAAGATTTCATAAACGAACTTTTATTCCGATTCATTCTCTCCTAAAACACGAAAAAAAAGGAGTGACAAAAAAATAATAACCAGCATGAATTTCGTAAACGTTTATTACGACAATCGTACAATAAAACGTATAATACAAGCCTCTGTGCGGCATTCAGCGCGAATTTACGGCCTTGCTAACGCGATACAGAAACGATTACGCTTACCCGTGATCCATTTCCGGCACGGTGTCCCCCTACAACTCTTAAAACGAGAAAGAAAAACGAGAAAAAACGAAAGGGACGGAAAAAGAGGAAAGAGAAGATGTTTCGCCGAGGAATCGTTCTAATTCGATTACAATATTAACTTATTCTCCATTGATTACGTTAAGATTAATTACTGGCTACGCTTACGATCTAAATAATAGCAAATGTGATCATAGCACCACGTTGTAAGAATCACAATATTATAATTAATTATATTTACGCAGTATACGGGATCTGGTTGATAAAAAAAAAAATAACATACAAGATTAAGTGAATCTATGGAGGACGCGATGCCACTGATAACATTATGAAATTGGAAATTGAAATAAATAAAATTATTTAGCAATTGTTCCGAGATGCAAATTTTCCTATTCGAATTTTTATCGAAGGAATAGAGGATGAATTTATTTAAATCGACTTTAGAGTTTCGAATACATCAGTTAGTAAGATTGATATAGCATCCTTTCAGAAATAATTATATCTATCACCTTAAAACACGTTAAATTCTATTAAAATTATGAAAACTTTAAATCGCTATAACTTTGAAGATAATGATTTCAGATCAATAACGAAAGATCATTAGAAACGTGGAACCTTGCCCTTTAAAATGCTTTTTAATTTATCTCGATACGACTTTTGGTTCCCGAGATATCATCGTGTAAAGAAAAAGGTAATTTTCAATCTTCTGTTATCTCCATCTTTGTCTCTTACTCGGAACTCTCGTTCACGCCTCGTCTCACTGACCTATCCCAAACTCCAAACAAATAATAGATGCGATTCCTGGAAAAAATATAGGTCACTGTGCCACAAACACATTCGTAAGCTTTACACTGGCTTAAATACAAATATTATGGATACTTTGAGTTCTTATATCTCGGCAACCGATCGAGATATTTGGATGAATCAAAAAGCAAATTCAATGGCACGATTTCCTCTATTTTTTGAGTGCGTTTTGATAATAAAATTTTTAATTTCTTCTCATACTTTTTATATAAATATTTCACTAAATATTTATCTAAAGTCACAGATCTTTGATGAAATGTAGATCTTCTTATTCTTGTAATATAAAATATATAGGGACGTAATTTAAGTTTTTTACAATATAATATTTTCCATGTGAAATATTTAAATACGTTTTATTTATTTTCGATAAAAATTTGTAATTCAAAAAAAAATTGTAACGATGTTATTTTATGAAATATTACAAAATGAAGAATCCACAGAATCTCATGAACGGCTTAATAGCTTTATCGTGCGCCACTTAATCAAATGAACTAAATCGCGCGAATAAATCAAAACGAAACACGGGCCAATAGCAGGTTAATTCCTAAAGTAGAGGGACGGAGCTCGAGGTGGCAATTTCTGCCTTTATCCACTTATTTCTACGGAGCATGGAACTGCTATCCTTCACAATTACATCCTGATCGATCTTTGCAAATCTTGTGGATTTTTTCCAGACAACCAAAAGCTTAATAAGAATTAACGGTGAAAAAATGTTCCATCCTCTTTCATTCTTTGAAGGAATTTTTGCAATAAAATATAATTGAAAAATCATTTTCTCTGAATCCTCAATAATAATTGATAGAAATACTTTTTCACAATCGAAATGTTAATTGGAATATTGATAAAGAAAAATCTATAAGAGATTGAAGATTTTGTAATAATATTTAACTATATTTAACTAACTATATTGTTATAAGATAATTAATTAATGCTGATGTATAATTGTTTGCGTGCACGAGACCAAATTTCCACGCACAAATCCTAATTAAGAATATTTTACTTGGAAATATTATGATTGCATAGTTTTGAAATTATAACGATAGTGGAAGAGAAATTTAGAATCTCGGAACGTGCTTGAAATCTTGTCAACTGCTTAAGAATTTCCTTCATGGCATCACCCTCCAACAAGCTAATTCGCTGAACGAAATAGATTCGAGGAATTAACACATTCACTTTACTCGATCTAAATATAAAGCCTTCTTTTGTTTGATAAATATGGTCGTAAAAATTAATAAAAAAAAAATAATAATAAAGTAAAATGAAAAGCAAATAAATTGCAATACCATTAATCAAATTTAAATTTAAGATTGGAATTTAATTCAAAAAATTAAATAAAAACATGATACCCAATCGTATAATTTAAATGATAAATGATGCAAGTGTCAGAAAAAAAAATTTTTATTTTTTTTAAGAGGAAAAATGATACAATCTTTTTTCAAATATGAGTTCAGAAAATTCTATATACTATTTGCGTTTATCATATTTTTTATTAATTATTAATGTTATTCTATTATAAATTATAGTTTTGAAATATACAAATTTTTCTATTAAAATTCATCTCAATATTTTTCAATTAATAAAATATTTTGTCGCTTATATAAGTTTTTCTTTAATTCCTTTAATAATTTCCTGTTTACTGAAAATCTTTTTTTTTATCCGACACTTACATAATTTACCATTTCAACACAATAATCATAAAAGATTATTCCAAACTTATTATTTCACTTACCTTCTTCCAATTTTATTTCTTCCAATTCCAAAATTCTTTCAAAGTATTAATCAACACATTAGAATTATAATACAATATATCAGCACTCTACCTAAGGATCCATTCAATTCTAAATCGTTAGAGATCGTCAATCAATTATCTCAAGATTTTCCTCCGGAAACGCATCGAGCATCAGTGAATCTATTAACTCGAACGAACCTAATTGCAAGGAAAACAGGTTGCCCGAGCACGGGCAACCTCGATCAACACTTGAGCTGCTTACACTGCACCCCAATCTCCGTGCACCTGCACTCCAAACAAGGTCCAGACAGCTCGGTGATGATCCTCCCAACACGGTACATTCTTCCATAGATATTACATCCAGCCAGTTTCAACAGACTCGTCACCGACATTGGAATCTCGTTCTCTATAATTTTCGTTACACTCTCTGTGAAATCTTCCATCTTTTCACTGGCCTTGGAAGACTTCTTTTCCTCTTCTGGTTTCTGATTGATAATGGTAGTCGACCTACTAGTCGTCGATATTTCTTTTGCCTTTGTATCCTTGCTATTGTGATCGTTAGGATCCTCCAGATCTAGATCAGATTCAGAAGATCTGCTGGTAGTAGAATAAAATTTAGAATCGTTCACTTTTACAGATATTTCTCCAAGTTTAGCATCGGTTGAAATGTTAATATCATCAATTTTGGAAACATTCGATTTGACAAAAGTAGACTTTGTTGCATTCATACAGGGAAGCGTATCATTTTCTTGTTTCTTGATAGTGTGATCTATCATCAGAGAGCCAATTCTTTGAGGAATTGTCTCAGAAATGTGATTCAAAGTCTGATCAGCTTCTTTAAGATTGTAATTTGATGAAATCTCTTGTTGTACGAGACCTTCTGGACTTAAATTGTATTTATTTTTGGAGATCAATCTGTTTGGATCTTCTTCCGGTCTGTAAGGTGGACGCAGAAGAGGAAATTTATTTATGAAATCGAAATTAGGTTGCAGAGGCTTCATTTCTCCAATCAGAGATGGCAGATCAGGAGCTGGTTCGGTCTTAATCACATCGCGAAACGGATCTGGTGATACTATTGGCTGATGAAGTGAAGGTGCTGTAGCATCTGCTCGGTCTAACACTACCGTCGGTGATTCGTCTGCCTCCACTGAAATTATTTTGAAATTTTAAAGTGAAGATGACATAATTGATGGCATAATGTTTGATATACACTTTTGTATTTAATACAATTTGAATTACTTTGCAAAGTATGATTCAATATCAATTGATTTCATAAATGTTTTTAATCAATTTAACATTTCTAAATTTTAAATATACAATAAATTATATTCCACTTTGCATATTTATATACAATATCTTACTAGGAAATATGTTCAACTTAAAAATTTTAAGAAATGTTTAAAGATATATAACAATAATCTTCAAATTGAAATTTAATATTAAAATTTTGCTGCTTTCTTTTTAAATAATCATATAAAGTTTCTCATACCGCAGACGATTTTTCCGCAACACGTCTCGTCGGTGTTGATCCTCCTACATCCGATCTTGAGGAGCGGACATTTTTCCGAGGAACACATCACCTCGCCTAGGTAGCACATGCAAATCACGCAGATACTGCTGCTCGGCAAAATCTCTCCGTGACGGTACTCCATATTCTCGAAGAGACAGTTGTTGGCTGAGATTTATGAAACAAAAGCATAAAATTTTGTTGATCTTGCAAGCTTCGAAAATTCTTTGAATTTTATTTCTTTGAATTTTAATTCTTTTGAATTTTAAATTTAGCTTGAAATTATAATTTAGCAATCTATAACTATAAAAATTTTTGTCTACTTATACTATGTATTTAATTTTGATATGATATCATGAAGAGTTGACAATGCATCTAACGATGTGAAAATATGGTGTAATAAAGAAATATTGAATTTAAGGAAAAAATGGAAAGAAATATATTCGTTACCATCGCTTTTACGATGAGGATTCGTGATTGGTGCCGGAACCACAGTGACGCCTGTTCCGATTTCCAGATTCAAGTCGGTAGAATGGTAAGAAGGGTCGAAATAGGGCGGTTCTCTTGGTACGAATCCACCTTAAATAAGAAAAATAAATTAAGTTAAAAAAATAATATTAATTCTAATATCACAAATTTCAAATCAATTATTTATACACATAATAATTAAACCAACAAATGATATATTGATTATGAAATTATTAAATGATTTATTAAATGATAATGATACATTGTATTGCAAAAAAGATTATATAAACCTTACATGTATTTCCAATTATTTTGTAATACAATAAAAATAAAAAAGAAATAGAAACAAAAATTTTATAAAATAATGAGTTAAAAGATTATTATTATTAAGAACTTTTTGCTTCTCAATCAAGAAATTTATAAGAAAACCAATGGAACCTTAAAAAAACAATAAATAAGGAAAAAGAAAAATATATAAAAGCGAGATTTCTCGAGGATGTCACCTAACGAGAAATCTTGGTTTACGAAAGGGCGTAAAACGCGAACGAGCGGCTGCTGAATGTATCAGTGGAACGAGTTTAAAATACGACCTACCTTCAGTCTCCACAGGCGGGCTGAATCTGTTTTCCTGAGTGGCGATATCGTAAAATCCTGAGGTGTCTGTGGGCCGTAGCTCTGGAGGAACCACTACCGAACCGGAAGGATATCCGGTGACCGAGGATGGAACTGCCTTGTCTTTTACAAGCGCATCTGCCGCCACGAATGGAATTATCCTGCATTCAAATGCATAAATTCGATATTTCTCATTTTCTTCAGAATTCATTTGTTAACCTTATTTCTTGCAATTTCAAAGTTCGTTCGTTGTTTTCTTATACAAGATTAATAATATGAAAATATTTGCTATTTTTAAGTTAATATTTTCATATATTTTACATTTATCTTTCTAAATCATTTATTCATTTATTATTTCTAAATGATTTTTAAATGCTAATTCAGAGAAATTACGTATTTGGAAATCTTTTTACGAATCAATGGCAATTGAATAATAACATAATAAATTGAGTCGATATATTTATGTTCATAAGCAAGCACGATTTCTTTTCAATCTTATCAAAGTACTTCGAGATAGGTATTTTTAATTAAATGATTATCACTTCACTTTCATTACATCACTTTCACTATAAAACTTATCTCCAAGGAATAAAGAAAAATCCTAAGCAATCCAAGATAACAACTTAACCTAAATCTAACTTAATATAAAATTCTAAATTTCTAAATTTCTATAAAATATTTCAATTCTCTTTGAATTACCATCAATTTTTTTTCTTTTAATAAGAAAATAATTATTAATAAAATTTCAAATAATTAAAAAATAAATTTTGAATAAATTTTAAAAGTTTCTCAATCCAATTTACTTCTATATTTCCAGCAACATAATCAACCGCATAGTATTTACCTTACCTGACATTCGGTAACGATGGTGGCAATGTTGGCTCGCTGTAGTCGTAATCATAATCCTCGCCCTTTTCACGGTGAGTGATGTTCAGGATAGCCTCAACGTCCGGCGGAATCGACCTAATCGGGTTGATCGTCACACCCTGTATATGACTGACCGAGACGTTCGTTTTCACAGTCACGTTCATCACCAGGATATCGTCTGGCATTAACACGGTGGATGATGTTCTGGTGGCTGTCCCTTTGCCCATCGATTCCGTGGTCTCCACCGTTTCCGCCTAATGGCAACAGGTTATGTAGTTCAGCCTCGACTTGTGAATTGATATCGACTGGTCGGATAAACTCGATGTTAATTGATCGATGGCGAGGTTACGAGTGTAAAGTCAAAGATGAATGATGTGTTTAATGTTGTGAAAGATCGATCTTTTTCTATTTTATTCCCTTATTTATTTTTAAGTAGTTAGTTGTTAGTTATTTTTATTATAATTTTTTAATATTTAGATCAATGTTTACTAAACTTTTTTCTTACAAATATGTAAAAATGATTTAGATTATGGAAAATAGAAAAAAATTATTTCTTATCCATTCTTATTGACTCTTTTTGCTTTTATACTTTGTTATTTTTGTTAGATGATTTTTATCCTAAATAATCGTAATTAATTATAATGAAAATCAGAAACTTTCTTTGAAAAAGGTAAAAGACGAATGAAGCCTTATTTCTTTGAAGCATTAATTTGTAATTTTTTTGTAACATTTTGGAAGATTTTATTTTCAAAAAAATCTAATTTCTTACGAAATTTTTATATCTTCTTATAAAAATTATACTTAATAAAAATTTATATTCAATTCTTTATATCAGAAAACAATTCTTATGTTTTCTTGATAGATATAATGAGTTAGTAATAAATACATATTATAACATATTATAAATATTCAAATCTAAAATCATGATTTTTGTATTATATAATATTAAATAATCATATATCCCATAACAGTATAGACTTTTCAATTCAATTGCACTAATTAAAATCATATCATCTCCTCACAATGAAATACAAATTATCTACAAGAACAACATTTTCCAAGCGATTGAGCCAAGAGAATCTCGTCCGTATCCTCTTGAGAATCCTCGATTTATTTGTAATCCTCGAGCAATTTGTTTGCACACTAACCGTCGAGTTGGCGTGCTCGAAATCCTGCTCGAAATCTCCGCTCGTCGTCGATGTCGTATTCTTGTTCCTCACAGTCACGTTGTGCATCTTCTCTTCCTCCAATTCCTGCACTTTCGTCACTGTATCGTTTGCATTCGCTTCTGGTAACAAGGTGGTCAATTCAGTAGTCGTAGTTGTGATCGTAGTGGTCGTTGTGTCGTCCGTCGACGACAGATCTTCGATCACAGTGATCGTTGTCGATTCGACGATACTGTTCGTCGAGAAAATCGTTGATGAATCGTTCAGATCGTCATCCCTGATCGACGAAGTTGAATCCATAGTAGTCGAATCGATAACTGTCGTTGACTGCAAAATGACGTGTAACTGATTTTGAAATTTTTATTTGGAAGATTTAATGATTGATATGTAATTTTTAAATTAATATATTGAATTTTGATGAATACAAAATGATTGAATTGATTGCAAATGATATATAATTGATTTTGAAATTTTCATTCGGAAGATTTAATTATTAATATATAATAATTTAAAATTGGGAGAAAAAAGATTTAATATAAAGATTTGTTGGAATTAAATTTTTAAAATTGAAATAAAATTATAAAAGATTTTTGTCAAATTGACTTTAGATTAATAAATGATAACATAAAACAGTCTTAAAAAATCTAAAGGATATATTTTCTTATCTATAAAGCGCATATTTCATGAAATTTTCAATTCAAAAATTACCTCAACAGCAGCAGGAGTGGTAGTGGCAATTTCTGGGTTAGATTTCACGTAGTCTACTGTCTCGAGGATCTCATTGTCCATGATGTCTGTCTCGAAAGTGGACGGCCAGGACGTGGAATCGGTCACTATTGAAGATTCCTCCACGAGTTCCTTCGTACTGGAATCGATCCGTTCCTCGACCACTCGATGACCTCGTCCCTCCACCGGAGGATTTGTTATTTGATCGACTGCCGGCTATTTGGAATATTTATCATTATTATAGATTTCATTCATTTAGATTTATGATAGATAATCGAAAATAGTTAATACTTGAGATACATGATTTAATCATTAATTTATTAATTTATCAATGAGTTATTAAATTATTGTAATTAAATAATTAATAGACTAAAGATATTTAAGTTTATATTTTTATTACTACAATTAAAAAAGTGATATCTAAATGAATGTTTGATTCATTTTTTATAAATATCGTAATGTATTTTTAAAAAATTAGAAATTTTATTAATCCTATCTATTATTAAAATCAAGCATTATAAATATCATGAAATTGAGAAAAATTTAAAAAGAATTAAAATTCAACATTATAATTACCATCTTCCTTCGAATCTTATTAATACATTAACAATCATAATATAACTTCTTTACCACAATATCGAAACTTCAAATATCAAAATTTCCAATTACAAATTAATTCCGTCAAATATAATAAAAAAATGATAATCGATAATATTTCATATTAGAGACATGATCAAGTTTATTTTAAATAGATCATGTAATAACGAGACTCGGTTCTACTTGTCGTCCATTGTCATAAAAGACGACCAGTTTCGTTCGCGCCCTCTGTCGCGTGATTTACAAGCCTAGTGGAATTTAATTAATGCAAACCCGCCGGAATGGGTGCCATGTCAGTTAGATGTTTAACTTAGTTAGTTGAGGAACGCAACGCGATGCATTCCTCGTACATAGATACGGGTACTCAACCGATCAGTCCTGTTCCTCGTATTTGTTACTCAGCTGTTACTGTTCGAAACAATTATACGGTCATTTGTCTCGACGATTTTGTCGCTTAATGTTCGACGCTTTGGGAACTGTTCGTGATACTGGAAGATGGATTAGCCCAATCTAGGACTTCTTGCGCTCAAATATTTATAATTAAAAGGATATTATAGTCATAATTAAAACGTGCATTAAAACGTGTGTTAAAATTTGCGAGACGTTAATTGGACAAAGAGAAAAAGAAGATAATGATGTTTTGATAATTTTATTTTAATTTCTATTTAATCTTAACTTAATTTAATTTTACACGATTTTATTTTGATCATTTTTGGTAATTTTTATTATTTTAATCTTTCTCGAATATTATATTGCGAATAAAAAAAATTCTACATGGAAATTTACCTAAACTGTAGATTTATGATAAAATGAAATGATAATATTGACTGTTAGAAAAGATAATAAAAATTCAGAATCGAAATAAATTTAAAAATGTTATTTTAATCTCTTTGCATTCGCAATATCGACTTTATGAATGAGATATTAAAATATAAATATAGAATTATGTAAATATTGTATAATATTCAATATTTATATACACATTTTAAATATTTTACATTTACATTACTGAACATTATTAAAAATATTATTAAAAATAAAAATTTTAAAAATCTTTCTTGAAATTAAACATATTCAATAACAATAAAATAAAAAAATATCCCTATGATATTATTTAATAAATAAAACAAAATCTTTTACTCATCTAGTGTTTTTTTTTTTTTTTAATAAAAGATAACCTTAAATTATCTTATCTAAAATAGTTCATTCAAAAGAAAGATTTAAAAATTTAACTCAACTATAATATAGTAAAAAGAAATATAAAAATGTAATAAAGAAAAATGTAACAAAACTAGAATATTTTACTAAAAGGATTTAAAATTGAAAAATAAATGAGAAACGTACAAAGAAATTGGTCTCCTTGCGAAACTTGGCGTAGTCCTTGCTGATGAACGCGTACGAGGCGTAGTTCTGGGTGGCCTTAACCTCGATGCTACCGCCTTGAACGTTTAATCTGTCAGTTTCTTATGGCATTCGGGCTAAAACACCTAGGTGGTAATCAGGGTTGTGAAAGAGCACAGGGTTTTTGCTAGACGCCCCATCCGGCTTGTGTGTTTCCGCCTTTTCTTTTACCGACTTGCCCTAACAAGGAGAACCGAAAGGAAATTGGAACGATCGTTTGCCTCCTGTGCTCCTGCTTAAAGTCGGATCGATGGAAACGGTACGAGATTTTTTGAGACTAATAAGATTTCTTCCTTCCTTATAAAGTTTATAAACTAAAGTTTATAAACGATAAATATTTATCTCGTTTTAATCTTATGAAAATTTATAATTTATAATTTTGTTTTAATAAATAACTATTCTATTATTATACATGATGACTTTTGGAAAAACAAAAAAATGTTGGAATTACTAAAGGAATTATTCGCTATTAAAATATATAAAAATTTTAAAGAAGAATAAATTTTAAAGAAGATTTCTTCTTTAGTTAGTTTCCGAGATTCGGACTAGTGATAAATATTTATTTCGAATATAACTTTTTCAGAATCATTTCAGAGTCGAATTGAAATTTTTTCTTTCCTATGTAATTTTAAATTATATGTATACTATTAATATTTCATAATTAAGAAAAATTTTATTTTAAAGAATATTAGAGAAGGAAAAATTTTAAAAAATTAGGAGAGGTTGAGATAAAAATTCCAATCCTTACGGGAACCACGAAATCACCGAGGATATTATCCTTTTTACGGAATCCGGATACTCAACGGAGCATTCAAATTTAATGATTTTCCACGCGATTCCACGCTTCCTGCGCGATTTCCTAATTCAATCCAACTTCCGCTATGCCATGACATTTTCAATCTTACGAGATTAGAACTGAAATTTTTTTTCTTAGTAAAAATTTAATTCCTTTTAGAAAATTCGTTTTCGAAATAAAATCTTTGTGTAAATCTTGAATTTCGTCCTCTCGAAAATGTACTAATAATACGATACGATTCGATTCGAAAATAATAAAAAAAAAATATTGAAAGCTTTTCATATTTTTTCATTCAGTGACCCGTTAGCCATCGCAGATTCTCATTCAGCATCCTAACTTGATCCAAAACTTATTCGTTTATGCCCTCGATTCCCCCGTTAAAAAATTCATTCAATACCTCTGGAGAAATCCTCCAACTTCAACTTCAATATCTTCGTCGTAACAAACCATCGATTTCATATTCTATCTTCGCATACTTTTACTGAAACTTCGAATTTCAATTCTGAAGATACCAATAATAGCTAGATATCAATCTCAATGAGTAGAATCTCAATTAATTAGAAACAGATTTAATTTATATATTTAATTATAGAGAAATGTTTTCATTACTTTTTCAATATTAAATAATTCAAAACTGTTTGAAAATAATTTCTATAACAACGTGATAATTAAAAAAAATAATTGTATTTAATAATTTATCATTCTTTTGCAATTCTTAAACTTTATGCCTCGAAGAAAATCTATGATATATAAAATATTCAAAATACGTAGTAAGCTAATTAAAACAAAATCAAACTGAATAAATGATCCTTGATCCTTTAGATCTTTTTTAAACTCTTTGTTAAAATTCTTTATAATATCTACCTATTTTATTTACAGTTGCATCACCCACTAAATTATTGACAACTCGATATTCACAGTATTTAAGAAAATTTCTACAATTTCGATCCTTATGTTAAATTTCAAAAAAAGTTTTGTATTAAATATCGATAACAAAATAATTCAACATTCCAATTCGTACAATCGGCCAAAAACAAATTTCAACAATCGCCTATACCCATCATTATCTATCGCAAAATTCGCGATACCATCGACAAGAGACGAATAATTGAATACGAGATTCTACGGCGAGAATATAATCGAGCACGAGGCGGAAAACACACAATCCAAGGGTGGGCCAAGTCGGGTGAAAGGCGAAATCGTGGCAACCCTGATGCGAAGGCATTGCGACTCACTGCAGTTGTAGGTGGACGGACAGCAGTGTCCCTCGCGTACGATCGGGCTGCAGCCTTGAAGAGGAGGCGCGCAAGCGAGGGGAACGCAGCGTATCGCGCCCATGGCGCAGAAACAGTTGTCACAGGCGGCCTTCCACTCGATGTCCCGTACCATCTCGCCCTCCTCGTACATCCTCGATCCCACACGGCATCCTACGGAATGGAAATTCGGTCAGTTCTAAAGATTCAACCCTTTCTTCGCTCGAGTAACTTGATATCTTTAAACAGAATAATTCTAGAGATTTAATTCTTTACAGGATGATCAATATCTTTGCACAAGATAATCTTAAATTAATTTTAAAGGGGAATGAACGAGGAATATCTTCATAGTGTCCGATTTATCGATCGGTATAAGCGTAGGGATTATTCATTATTAGTTACTTTTTGTCGACTAGTTACCCTAGTTATTTTATCTTATTATCATCTGTTGATAAAAAAGGATGTATATATAAAGTTAAAATAAATGTACTTCAATATGTCCCAAATATATATTCTATTTCTTCGTTGCTCCATACATTTTCAAAAGCCCTGATAATCCATTAATTTAACTTTCCAATCGTATCTTCGACTCGAGTACGAACGAAACAACTTTCTTGGCAATATAATCTGCGAAATCTGTTCTCCGGAAATCGTCATAAACCAATGGAAGCCAATTTCCCCGCGACCTCACTATTCGAATCGAGGAATAAAAAGGCCGAGGAACTCGATCGATTCTTCCTCGATTCTATCTCGAAAACGTCACTTCGAGGACGTTATTAGACGATTACTACATCATTCCGTCGATCGGTGACGCAAAGGGAACAATGGAGCCCGTTGCTCGATCGTTATTCAATGTTTTCACGATGGACTTCCGGTTGGCGGTGACTCGAAGCGAGGTGGAAGGCCACTTTCGTGGATAGTTTCCGGGAAACTGGCGCGTGGGATTAAGTCAGCGGTCGGAGAGGACTTCTAATGGGGTGGAAACGAGGCTTTAGAGGGAGGTTTAAGTTTCAAGTGGTCATGTGTAACCGGCCATTAAATGGACAATCAACGTCTGAGAATGTTGGTCTCTTGATAGACAACGAAAAGTTTGGTTTGATCGATTAAAGTGATATATATTATTAACGAAAGAACAATAATTGCATAAATGTTCTATTCTAATTTTTCCCTCCTTTTTTATTCCTTTCTTTTTTTTTTTTTTTATTTAAACTTTTTCTCTCAACACATAAAAATGCGAAACTTCAACATCCTTAAAACTTACAGCGTCTTAAAAATTACTTTTACTTTTTTTCTTTTTTACACGAATATTCCTCGCTATTAGAAAAATAATCGTACAATCTCGATTTTTTTCGTGCCATCTCAATGCATACGTATACGTAGCGCGCGTAGGTGTTGAAAGGAATCGTTTTAATGCAATAAAAGCACGGTGTGCACGTCGACGGTACGTTATCCCGTGACATTCCCTCGCTTCGGAAAGATTTCCACGGAGGCAGGGGCCGTCGTTCCTCCGCTCGTTCACTTAACGCCCAGTTTCATTCAATTTTACGACGGCGGCCCCTTTTCTTCCGTGGAAATGAGAAATCATGTTCCCCGGCAAATCTGACGCGTGAAACGGCGACGTCGAGCATTTGTTTTACTTCCGTGAATTTTCGTTTTCGACGCTACCCCCGAGTTACTTAGAACTGACGTTTTTATCTCCCAACTTTTCTTTTCCTTTTTTTTTTTTTTTTTTTTTTTTTTTAAATTCTTTTCACGCATCTTTAAAGACTTTGATATAAATGTATTTTTCTAATTCTACGATTTTTCCACGATTGTTTCTTAATCGAAAAAATTATAATCTATTTGTATAATTGATGATGCAATTGGCTTATTTTTTTTTTTTTTTTTTGGAAGATAAATTCGTAAGTAATACTGTGAAGTTGATGATAATTTTCAAAATAAACTTTAATTATTGATTTATTTGTTACGATTCAAATACGAAAACAAATAATTTAGAAATAAATCTAAATTATTTTTATACTTTAATCAAACGATTCAATATATATTCAGTAAAAGGGCACAATATTTTCATTGTTTTTCGAAATTTTTAAAATATTCCATTCCATAAAAAAAATATTAAATTACGGAACACATTCGTAAAAGTAAAAGTAAAAACAAAAATTCAGAATTTTCAACAAAAATTTTGAAATTGATAATATTAAAGTACAGTACAGTAACCAATAAATAAAAATACCCAAAAAAATTGATCGGTTTCCTTGATATACGACTATGTGCGTAGCATGATAAATTTTTTAAAAAACTTTCGATTAAAAGCAAAAAAAAAAAAAAAATAACGCGTAGCGTATCGAGCAGAAAAAAAAAAGAAAGAAAGAAAGAAAGAAAGGGATTCTTAAAAGATGCTTTGTAAGGATAATTAGATGGTACTCGGCGCGCGATAAAGCCGAGCACAATTTAAAAGGATTAAAGTTCGCCATGCAGCTGATTTTGTGCCGCGATGCGATTTTTTCTCATAAGCCGAGCTTAAATTTAAACTCGGCCAGCAAGGGTGGAAGGGAAAGAGGGCTTCTTCCAAAGCGGCTGATACAGCGACCGAGGCAAACTTTCCTTTTTATCGCGTTCAACTTTTCGTCGCAACTTTCACCGGATAGAGACGGCCCCGCGTCCGTATGCCTCTCGAGGAACGAGCGAATAGGAACTGAGCGAATATATACACGCGAACAATCGTTAACCTCCGCGTCGAAATATAAACATTGGGAGAATTGATTTGGAGAAACTTTGAAGGAAATTTATTATTTATTACATAATTCGATTTTTATTTCGCATTTTACATTTCGATTCTATTTTTCTTTTCTTTCTCTTTTTCTTTTTTTAAGAGCCATATTTCCAAATTAAAAAATTCAATATTAATTTTTATATCTCTTACAGAAACCATACTCCTAAATTTAAATATTTAACTATTATTATATTTTTTATTTGTTTATATTTTCCTCAATATATTTCATTACAATTAATATATATTTATTCGACTATTCGAATCAATTTTACCTCAAAATCTTCGTAAAATCTTTCGTATTTGTAAATTATAAAATATTTTATTTTATCATTAAATATTTGATATCTGATAAAAAAACCTTACAAAGCAAAGATTCATCCTCAAAGAACAAAAAATAAATAAATAAAATTTTATTCATTTTACTCACCATTCCCCGTGATCGGCGCCAATGTCGACGAATGGAGATCTTAAAAAGATAAAAAAAAAGAAAAGGAAAGAAAAAGAAACAGAGGAGGATACAGAGTCCAGTATACGAATTATCATTCCGCGGATCGATAGAATTGGTACTCACGGGTGCAATTGTAGGCAACAGGGCAGCAAGAGTGCGGGGCGTAGAGCGGGGTGCATCCCGGCAGGGGCAGGAGACACTTCGGTCTGATGCATCTTCTCGCGCCAGAAATGCAGTAGCAGTACTCGCATCTACGTGAGCCCATCATAGCCGAGCCTGGCCCGTATCTCACGCCTTCGTGCAGGCAACCTGATTGTTAACACGAACGACCGTCAGCCCGGTTGAATCTTTTAACTACGAGCGTTCTCGGACGTGGTCTGCTTTGAAAGTTGCCTGCTTTACTTTTTCAGATGTGTACACATGGGCCTCGGAAAAGGAAGGAAGAAAGAAAGAACGAAGAAGTATCGGAGAATGCGGAGATGATCGAGAAAGTGTGTTTTAAGAATTCGTAACATTTGTTTGGGATGTGGATATAGTAGAAGGAAAATATTGTGTGCGTAGAAAATATAGGGAAGGATTTGAGAATAACGAAAAAAGGCCAAAGATATTTTAGAGTTATTTAAGAATATGTAAAAGTACTTGGAATTATTGGAGTTATATTGGAATTAAGGATTTTTAATATATTTGGAGATTCAACTGTTTGAAATTTTGAATTATTTCAAAACTTTTTAAAAGCTCAGAAAAAAAAGAAAAGAAAAGAAAAGAAGGAAAGAAAGTTTCCTAAAGATTTTTTTTAAAAGGGTTAATGATTAGAATCGGTAGCAATAAGTTTGTAATAGCAAAAATTGAATCTCGTGTGGTTTAACGACAATTATCCTAAATCACAGGCCATTATAATAGGAACTCTGAATCATATGTTATAGAAGCGATAATTTTCAACTCGTAAACTGTAATACTAACGAAGTAGAGGGTAATAACAGTACCTAGCAACCCTTAAATGGTAGGACCGCGGTGGCATATCGTAGATTATGATAACAACGACCAAAGTGTAAACCATAGTTGTGCTCGTGGTCATAAAGCACAACAAGTCATTCTCACCCCGATAAATTTCGTAAAAAATAGGTATTATGTTAGATATTACGTTACTTTTTCGAGGACGTAACGACGATCCTGATATCCTTATCGCGATAATTCGATGCGAATTTTCAATTATTACACTCCGTTGCCGCAACAACATGTCGGAACAACAATAACCATCAATGTTGATCGTTATCATCGAATTTCCTCTGAATTCACTCTGTCTTCACGGTTTCACGACAATTACCTCGAAAACGAGGATTCTGGTAATCCTCATCCTCCTCATCTTGCTCCACGTGAGCGTTAGATCTTCGTGGCATGCTCACGGTTTCACCTGAAAAAATATATTTTATTTTGAATTATAATTTAATTCGACAAAAATTGTTACGAATAATTAACAATGTGTGATTGAAACAATGTTACATTCAACTAATATGTAATATCATTCAAAGTAAATTATATAACATTTTAAGAAAACATTATATAATTTAATTACGTACATTCACTTGCATCACAATATTAGAAAAATAATTAGCAATTCTTTAATTTTATCGAATATTGAATTATTGCAACTAAACCGTTTTATTTTTTTTTTTTTTTTTTTTTTTTTTTTCATAGTCGTACTAACCTGTCTCGCTGCAAACTAATTCCGCGCAACAGACGTTCTCTTCCGGGGAGCGGACGGTACATCCGGTGGGTGGTGGATTTGGTAATCGTGGACAAACTCGAAGACGACATCTGAGCGCCCCCTCGTTGCACCTGCACTGCAAACAGGGTTCGGACGTGACCACAGACGTGCCCTCCTCGTATCTGCGACCCTCGTATCTGCACCCTGCAACAGACCATCTCGTTCCAGTTAATAAATTATTCTGTGATATGACGCATATAATAAGAGTGTTTCTTGAAATATTTTTTGAAATAAACATCCCCTTTTTGTAATAATCGAAAAGATAATTTCCTTTTCCTGAATTTTAATTAAAATTTGTGGAATGTAATAAGAATTTTATTTTGTAGAATATAATAATTGTCAAATAAATTGCAATCCTTTCCCTCGTTTTCTTTTAAATGTCAAAAATGTGAATATGTAGACTATATTTATTTGAAAAAAAAAATAAATTTTTGCTGATAAAATTTTCTTAGACAAGTAATCGCAAATACAAAAATTGGGAATTGCCAGGGAAGGAAAGTAAAAGTGGTTATTATAATTTGTTGAATGAATGAAATTTTATAAATTGTAAATAATATTCGATAAATAAATGAATTGTGATAAATTTCGTTTATTTAATTTTTATCGAAACCTTTTCAATTTTATTCCGTTTGGAGATATTTTAATTTCATTTAAAATGTGAAAAATAAATACGATTATTTGTTCGATTGTATTTTACAACAGAAAAATTTGCGTGTATATATTTTTAATCTTAACATTCAAAGTTATTAATATAACAATATTTATATTTCAAATAAAAACTTTTATCAAAAAAAATTCTTTATAAAAATAATGACACGAACACTTTATCTTATCGATTACGACGTACAAATAATATTTAATATTAAAATTCATGAACGAAAATGAAGATTATTCTCTACCTCGAAATGGAAGAACGATCGTGTATTTTACGAATCGATAGTTTGATATTATCAATTCATAGAGAAAGATAAGAAAAAATAGAATATTCAATCCTCAAATATTACTCTTATTTAAGGAGGAAATAATATATTTTTAAATTCATAAATTGCAATATTTTCAACGAGAAGGAAAAAAAAAAACTTTGGAACAAGTTTGAAAGAAAAATTGGCCATTCGAAATGCAAAAACAATTCAAAATTCTAGATTTCCATCAACTATTTTTTTCTTTTTTTTTTTTTTTTTTTTTCTAATCCACTGCCCCGATTCGATTTTGAATGACTCATTTTGTCGGATTTTCCACACGAATTTTCGATCGTACCGCGGCAAAATCTCGCTTTCAAAACCTATTCCACCAAGTGAATAGGATTATGTGAAATCACTGCGGAACAATTTGTAATGGAGCTGTACACGCTAGAATAACACGATCATGAAATAACCCCTGACTGGATCGCAACGATTTTTTCGTTTGAAAAAAAATTGTTATCTTTGTTTGACGCTTGAAGCCAAAAAAAAAAAAAGGGAGGAAATAGAGAAAAATAAAAAAATATATATACATATGTGAAAATACGTGAAATGGACGTGCGATAAATTAATTTTCGAGAGATACGAGGGATATTTTTAGTTTAACCTAATGTGCTTGAGAGGAGGGATAATAGGATTTAAGAGTGAAGATGGAAATGAATGTTTATCACGCAAACTGTGAAATTGGCTTGTTTATGGAAGCGAGATTATCAAATGTGATTGTAAATTGATATTAATTCGATATTATCGAGAAATAGGAGAAGGAATATAAATTAATGTCGAATGAGTTTATTTTGTTTTATGCGTTTGAATGATTTAAATTACCAACAAGAAGATTTAATAATGAATACAAACGGATATAAAGATATTACACAGAAACACATATAGAATATAGATATTAAAAAAGGAATATGAATGAATCGGATTTAAGAAAAAATAAAATCACATTACGTTTTAAAATTTAATCACCAGATGCACCAAGCGTCTGACAATAGTCGACTGTTTCTACTTAAAAAGATCTAAATACGAGATCTATGACTTGCGATAGAATGCGTAAAATAATAACTTTTTACTTTACTTTTAGAAAAGATACATTTAACAATATTATTCTTCTACCAGTACTTTTGTCCATCTTAAACGAAATAAAACTTTTCCTTCGTCCAATATTCACACATTACGATCGGTCAAAAATATTTTATTGAAATCGATAAAAAGTTAATCTAATCGACTCTATAAAGTGACAGATATACTACTATTACGTTGTATCAATTTCCTTCGAACAAACAACGTGGAAGGAAGGAAGAAACAGAGTCGTATCATCGATTTTTTTGCGGCCAAATAATGGAACCTCGCAATTTCTCCCTTACATGCACGACGAGACCGCGAAAACAAGCGGAAAGTTGACGAAGCGACTACGAGAAGAATTAGAGTGCTATTAGTCGAAAGAACTGGTAAGACTCAAAGGGGAAAGGGCGCTTTATTGTTGACTCAGCGGAAAAAGGAAGCCAAGTTGGCTTGGTGGTGGTGCAAAACCGGAAGAGAGCCAGAGGAACGGGCGTGTCTCGCCGAGAAAGATTCTATCCTGGGGAAGGGGAGTCAAATTTGTTGGGTGGAACTTCCGTTCAGTTGATTCTTTTAACATTCTCTCCAACGTTCTAATAATACGAAAAAAAAAAAAAAAAAAAAAGAACTACACGCTACTTCGTCGTATACACCAATCTTAGAATTTTGTTTACTTTTTCCATTGCCGCGTTAGATCAGTGGTTCTCAACCACGTTAACATTTACGGAAAAAAAATTCGCTCGACTCGATTCAAATTTTTAACGAATCCCTTCCATTCCTCGCAAAGACAAAAAAAAAAAAAAGAATCTCGACTCGAAAAATCCTAAACAAACCACCCTCGAATCACCCACGACACGTCGTGAGAAATTCAAATTCTGTAAATATCGAAAATATAGAAGCGTGACGAGAAGCGCGTTTCTTTTTTCCAAATTTCAAAATGCTCGAAAAAAAAAGGAGACGAAGGAATCCTCGAGTCGAGGATCGGAACCTTGACGCTCGGCGTCAATTAGGGGGGCGGAGCCCGGCCTTGAGAGTCACTGCACCGCGATGCACACGCACTGCACCGAGCGCAACGGTGCACTCGTGCACATTGGAGCGGCGTGTGCATACTACAGCTATGAATGGAGCGAACTCTGCCCTCGCCCCTCTCCCCAACCCCCTCCTCCTCCTCCACCTCCTTTCTCTCGTTGCCTTCACGGTTTCCCTCCGACCCTCCCGCCGTTTCGTTCAACCTTTCTCCTTCCACGAACCACGTGAACGGATCCTGGCCGCGGGCTAAACAACGTTTACACGCGTGTACAACGTGACGTTTTCACACACGCGAACGGACCAAGGCTGCGCCCGGTGACCTTTGTCTTCGATGCAAGGTGATGGTCGCCGATGAGGCTAACAGACTACACGAGATCTGCACTCCTCGAGTGTATATCGATGCACTCGTGAATCCATGAAAAATATTTCGATCGACACTTGTTGTTGAATGGAGGTAAGATAATAAAGATGAAATTTAAGCGATATTTTTTTCCATCTTGTATTTTGGCTTTAATCATACGTGTTCCAGGAATTTTATACTATGTAGATTCTTCGATTTTTTTTGGTAATTTTTTTGCTGGATGAAGGAGGATGGATGAATAATAGTTATTGAGAGACAAATCTATTTAGAGAGAAAGTGGAAAGGATGGATTCAATGCATCGAATGTCATCGCAATGCCTACTTCATAACTCGTGAGAGACTTGTAATAAAAATTTGACAGATCTTTGTGTATCTCGATTCTAATAGCTAATATCAAGGATTAATATCGTGATATTTCTAATCAGCAATTAAAATGTTGCAATAGTTATGAAAGTGTAATGAATTTTCGCAGGATGAATAATGTTTGAATAATGGATGGAAGACAAAGGGTAACAGGAATTTTCGTAAACCGTATGATATCTTATATCATTATATCCTCTAACGATCCTCCTTGGTATAAATTATACTTGTCTGTAAGAATTTAATATTTTTAATCGTCACTGTGTGTCGAGACTCGAGCCATGAGAAGATTATGATTGAATAGATTACGGGATTCTCTTTTTTTTCCCAGACAAGATACAGGAAGTAATACTGATCGAATAACTGAACAATTATAACAGTTCTCTTCTTCTTAATATATTCACTCCTTTCTTCTGTTTGTGTAGGCAAATATATGTAGAGTTTCAATGATTTAAAGAATCTGAAAGATTTTTGGATTAATTTAAACAAAAATAAATACTCTGGTATTTAGAAATTTCCTCTCGAAATCTTTGAATTAATCGATTAGAGATCCTCGAGAAAGAGATCATTGTTGGAAAATTTAAAAAGTAGAAAAATAATCGGAGATTCTTCTCGAAAAGAAAAGAAAAAAAAGCGTGTTATACATCTTTTCAAAAGTCCTCTTAACTGAAGATTCATCCTAGAAAAATTACTTTTTTTTATGAAAGAAAAAAAAATGTACTGCCTTTGTAAAAAAGATTCACCTTTTTTTAAACAATGCTCGAAGTCCCAATGCTAGACTTTCCTTTCCTCGAATCCTTATAGAGTCGATTCCTTTGAGAAATGCCATCAAAGAAGAGGATATCGGCAAACTCGAGGGCAAACCTTTATTGCATTAAATTTAACAGGTATTCCATAACCAATATCATTATCGAGTAATGCACCATATACTTGTTATGCTTATACTTCGACCAACCTTATAACCAAAATTTCGTTTGCATAAATATTTCTTAGAAAAAAAATAATAGAATCAACAACCAAAAAAAAAAAAAATTAATTTTTCAAAAAGCCATCCAATCCATCCATCTTGAACAATAATAATACGAAATCAGCATTAAACATTCATATCAAATCTCTGAAAATCTTCTTCTTCTATATGGAAAATTAATTACTTTTAAAATTTCCAACTTTGAAACTTTCATCGTTTCAAAGATGTGTATAAAATATTATTCGAAAACTCCAAAAATCGATCTCGAACGAGGGGAGAGAGGATAACGAGTATAATGGAGTAATAAAGATTCGGCGAAGAGGAAGATCGCGGAGGTGGCTCGAGAGGGCGCGTTTTTAATTAAAACATGGCGGTCGAAGATGGCCGATCGGCCGGTTATTAATCG